AGCTTTGGAGGCTAGGATCAGCAAGTTTAGATTTTTGACTACAATTTTGGTGCAAAGTTTGAGTTATTTAGAATATATATATATATAAAAATATGGGTGCTTAAAGTTAAGGTGTTGATTTTGTACCTAATATCACTCTTTTGGATATAACACATGTGTATGGAAAGCAATAGAGGATCGGCGATTAGGATTGGAGAGAACACTCTTTTCGCTATGCTTTTGGCATACTATTTGATGGATTTTAAGTTTGGATGAAGGAGATATTAGAGATTGAAATCAATGCTTACAAATCTAAAGGTAGTAAGTGACCCGAATTGCTAGTGGTTGTTTTTTGAGCTTTATCTTGTGCAATTTGATAAGATTTTAGCTAAAAATATCCAAAAATGTATATTTTTATGTAATAAAATTTTTTATATAAGTTTTGTGGCATTTGGATTTTGGATTTGTGAGTTATGAAGAAAATAGTACTTACATGCTTATGAATTAGGATTTAAGAGCACCTACTAGGATTTTTAAGATGTCAGATGATTGGTAGCAAATTTATAGTTGAATTTTTTTAAGATAAAGCTTAAGGGTGAATTATATAATATTTGTGAATTTAGAAAAATTTGAACAATTGGATCAAGAGATATGAATTTCTAAAGTTTGGAAAGAAGATATCTTTTGTGAGAATATTATATTTTGAAGGGATTTTATTATAACTTGAGTATTTTATACAAATTAAAGGAGTATTTTAGAAGCCAAGACTTCATATATATGTTAAAGATGGATATATAGAGCTATGGTTGAATTTTTGTATAAAGATAAGCTTTTAAGAGAAGATTGTGGATTTCCATTGAAGTTATTGAAAACCAAATCTACCAGCAAATGGATAACTATGATTTGGTATAGCCAAGGATGTTAGAAATTTTTTAGATATTTTATAAAGTCTTATGTATAAATCTTCTTAAATATAAAAGGATTTATCAATATAATATCTTTTTAATATTGTAGTATCTATTTATCTTTTACTTTTAAGCTTAAATAACTTATTGGAGCTTGGCCAATAAGTTAAAACTAAACTCTCTATATCTAGGTATCTAATGTATTCTTAAATAGAAAACTATACAATATGACAATATGTTCTTTAATCATGTTTTAATTTTCTAGCAATGGTACATTTTGGATACAACAAGACTTTGAATCTAATATCTAGAGATTTTTGGTGGCCACAAATATGAAAGGCTATAAAATACTTTATTCAATCATGTGATATTTATGCAAGGTCAAAAACTCTTCATCACTGACCTTATCAACTTCTTCAATCCTTATCTATTCTAGAACAATCATAGTCTTCTATTTCTATGGATTTAATGATGGATCTTTTAATCTCAAGTATGTGTGATTCTATATTTGTGATAGTAGATTGTTTTACAAAAATGACACATTTTTTACTATATACAAAATCTATCATAGATAAAGAAATTGCCAAGCTTTTTTTTGAGAATATCTATTGATATCATGGATTACTAAAAGATATTATATCAAATAGAGATATTCAATTTGTATCAAGATTTTGAAGAACCTTATTTAAGATTTTAAAGATAGACATAAAGGTTTCTTTGACCTTTCATCCTCAAATTGATGGACAAATAGAGCGTATAAACCAAGTTTTGGAATAATACTTAAGGTGTACTATCAATTATCAACAAGAAAATTGAAAAATCCTCTTACTATTGATAGAGTTTGCTTATAATTATATGATGCATTCTTATTGTCAACAAACACTTTTTTTTTTTACTAATTATGATTATCATCTATAATTTGATACTTTTGACTTTTCAAAAGTTGATAATCATATGAGAGACAATTTAACAAATTATTAGTCAGAGCTACATATAACAATGAAGGTGCAATTAAAAGAAGCTCAAGAATGATAAAAGATCAATGTGGATGCCTATCAAAAGGAACAACTACAATTCAAGATAAGTGACAAGGTATGATTACTTTGTCATAATATTAGGACTATTTGTTCTTGTGATAAGTTGGACTATGACAAGTTTGGACCTTTTTTTATTTGTAGACAAATTAATCCAATTTCTTATTGATTACATCTATTGGAGTCAATGAAAATTCATCCTATATTCTATGTACTCTTCTTGAACCATACAAGATTGTGAACATATCAAGAAGAAGATAAGTCTTACTTCTTCCTATAGAAGTAGACATTAATAAAGAGTTTGAAGTGGAAGAAGTTTTAGACTCAAGGCAACACTAAAATAAGTTAGAATATCTTATCCATTGGCATAGATATGATATTATTGAAGAAACATAAGAACCAGCAAAGAATCTTATAAATGTAAGAAAGGTGGTGGAGACTTTTCATCAATGACATCCATGAAAATCATGATGAAGAATAATAAGTCTTTGCTGTAAAAGAAACAAGGTCAAAAGAAGATTACATTCTATTTTTTATTCTTATTTTTAGTTTTAATGTAATTATGGCATTGAACAGATGAAAAATCAACAACTAGCAAATTCAACTCAAGAACCATCATTTGTTGACTTACTGGATAAGACTTTGTGATTATCACAACCTTCAAAATGAAATAATATGGATGAAGACATGCAAGAATAATATGTTCTTCTTAGAATAGATGGTGAGATACAAGAAGTTTGATATCATGACTTGAAAAAAAGACTCTCAATGTTTGGTCATTTTATTGGAAGTAGGCATGATTCTTGATAGTGTTACAAATATTTTTTTTGAAAGAAGTTACAAAGATTTCAACATTGATCAAATCACACGATGGTTTTTCCTTTCTGGAATGGGATATCACCGATGGCTAAGAGGACTTATTAACTACCTTCGAAGAGAACAAAGATCAAAGTATGTGGCAAATACAATTTTTTGCATCTTAGACTTTCTTAATATATGATCACCGCTTCTCGTGGAACTCGTCCTCTAGAAGGGAGGATAATACCATGGATATATATCTACTATAATTGTTATCTAGGTAATATAAATAGGTAGAATTAAATAAAAATATATTAATTTCATAATATCTTTTAGAGAAGCTTCCTAAAAACTTCTTAGATGTTGTTTTGACTTTACATATGTTTGTAGTTGATTGATAGGTTAGAAACTTGGTCAACAAGCTACTCATGTGCCACATGTATTGATAGCTTATGAAACAAGTTAACTATATGGTATTTATATAGAAAACTTGCCTTGTAAGTGAAGATGTGTATCATGCAAAGTCAACTCGTTTTTGAAGATCCTATAGAACGTCGTCACATAGATCTTAAGTAGATAGTATATATAGAAGCAAAAATAAAGCCTTCTTCACTCTTGTCAACTTCTTTCATGTTTCTAATTTAGTTTCAAGAGTCTCTAATTTCTTTGTCTTTTGGCAATAGCCATTGTAGTTTCTTTTTAATATACATACTTTTTTATTTTTATTTTTATTTCTTTTCTTTTGACATAGATTCCTTAGCTTTATGCATCTTCTTTCAATTCATGTCTTTGACAAAATCAGACATTTTGGATTTAATAAGACTTTGGAGCTAATATTTAAAGATTTTTTATGGTTTCAAATGTAGAAGATAGTCAAAGACTTTGTACAATCATGTGATATTTGTTTAAAATTAAAAATTCCTTATTATTAATCTTATAGACTTTTTTAGCTATTACCTATTGTAGAATAATCATTGTCTTCTATTTCTATGGTTTTTATCATGGATCTTTGAATCTTAGGTTCTTATGATTCTATATTTGTAATAGCAAATTATTTTAGCAAAATGACATATTTTGTATCATGTACTAAATCTACTATAAGCAAAAAATAACTAATTTTTTCTTTGATAATATCTATTATTATTATAGAATGCTCAAAGATATTATATCAAAAAGGGTGATTTAAGATTTTAAAGGTGGACATAAAATTATCTTCAATTTTTCATCTTCAAACTAATGGACAAATGGAGCAAATAAATCAAGTTTTGGAATAGTATTTAAGATATATTATCAATTACCAACAAGATTATTGGACAACTCTTTTACTATTATCAAAGTTTACTTATAATAATATGATACATTCATCTATACAACAAATATCTTTATTTATTAATTATGATTATCATTGATGACTTGATATGTTTGATTTTACAAAATATAATAATCTTATGGCAAAAGATTTGACAAATTGTTTATCTGAGCAATATAAAACATTGAAGGTACAATTAAAAGAAGCTCAAGAATAACAAAAGACCAAAGTGGATGCCTATCACAAGGAATAACTTCAATTCTATATTAGCAATAAGATATAGTCATTTTGTCATAATATCAAGACTAACTGCCTTTGTAAAAAATTTGATTATCGTAGATTTGGACTATTTTTTATTTGTAAATAAATCATTTTAATTTCTTATTAATTATATCTACTAAAATCTATAAAGATCTATTCTATATTATACATGTCTCTTTTTAAACCATGTAAGATAGAAAATATTTTGGAAAAATGATAAATACCAATTCTATTTGTAGAAATGGATAATAATTAAGAATTTGAAGTGGAAGAAGTTTTAGATTTAAGACAACACCAAAAAAGGTTAAAATATCTTATTTATTGGCATAGATATGATATTAATAAATACACAAAGAAGCCAATAAAGAATCTTAAAAATGCAATAATAAAGATTGATGCTTTCTATTGACAACATCCATCAAAATCAAGATAAAATATGTATATTTGCTAATACATGTCATAAAAAACTATAATTTTTGATAAATAATATAGAGTTTATATAGAAATTTAGATAATTCTATCATTTAAAAAAATATTCATGTTAAAATTATACTATGATTTTAAATTAATAAAATTTATACAAAATTACTTGATTTATTATTGGAAATATAATTAATACATTATTTTTTATAAGAATATATTTTTAGGTTTTTAACATGAAGGTTTTTACAAGATCAAAGAAATAGAACCATACTTTTCAGTCTGAGTCTGAAATGGTAAAAAGATTGCTTTAAAATAGATTTATAATGGAGTCCATGTCGGAGAAAATGCATGCGTAGCAGTAACGAATCCAACAGTGATGTGAAACTCTCAGCTTGCAGCGAAATGAATCGAACTGTATGTGCCTCCGAGTTGGCCTCAAGCATTAGCGTCGAACAACTGGCCAGCATGGTAGAAAAATCAAAACAAAGTTTTTATGGAGTTCATCTGCTACCCGAGCTGGGATTCTAACCTACTGTCCAGTTAGAAAAGTTACTCAAGAGAGTCATCGAGATTGAATATCTCTGCGTCTTTAAAACTTCCATTCTTCTCAAAACTTCTGAGTCTGGCAAGGTCAAGTACAAGGAGGGTATGGCGAATTACTCTGTTGGTGATTTCTAGATGAAACCGAACCAATCCGTGATTACCTGTGGGAATCGATTTATTTTTTGTCTTTTCAAGTTTATGTCCTGGATGATAGGGTTCTGGAATCATTCCCCGACCGTGTGTCATGTGTCATGTGACTTCGTGAAGTTTTGAAAAGAATGAAGCTAGACGGGACTTTCCTGAACGGACTCTTTCTACGTCAAAATGATAGAATAGAACTGCTGTGTGAAGAATGATCTAGCCACGGCTACTCATCTTAGATCATGGTTCCGGTGACGGGCTTGCGATGGGCTTCCAAGCAGTGGCGCATAGAACCACCTGCTCTTTCCACGCTAGGTAAAGTCTGTTCTCGTTCATGCTCAGGCTCCATCCCTCTTTGTACCTGCACAGGTGGTCCAATATGCCCCAGTATAAACGTGAGACGTAGGATATTCGATGAACACAGACCACATTCTTCGTTTGTTGCATTTGCACTAGAAATATTAACACATAAAAACAAATTAATATATATAATACAGATAGTGAGAACATTTGTTTACCTCTTGAGGAGCGCACGAACGTCGTCAACAACATCGTCGCTGAAGGGGCAGGGCACGAAGCCTATTCTTTTCAAACGGAGATCCCACTGGATTCCCGTCTCCTGCCTCTCAACGTTCTCTGGAGGGTCACAACCTATCAGATTGACCAGGTTCCGTGCACAAATCCGCTCCAGGATTAAACGTTCGTTGCTAGTTCTGGGGAAGTTCTCCTCCAGGGATTCAAACAAGAGGGAATAAAACTTGAGCGCCTCACAGAAACAAACAATAAAATCTGGCGAAGTCAGATCCACTTCTTCCTCCACAAGGATCATAATCTGCACAACAGTCAAACCCAGCAAGTTATTTTTGTTCGAGCCAAAAAGATATCAAATTTTAAGATCGGGTTGAAATGTTCAATGCCCGATTACTTATAATATTTAGATCAGGCGCGTCACAAAAAATACATTACCTTCGGATTTGCGTTTCGGAAGGTGCACAGGAGCACATCGCGCGGACTGTACTGCTCTCCTCGTGGCACAATCTCCGACACGTGATGAAGAGTGTGATTGCACGTGATGGCGAGGACTTCGTCCTGCCGCAGGTCCAGCGCTGCAAGTTCCAATTTCTCCAGTTGTGGTTCATGCTTTACAACGTACTCAAATGGAACACCCATAAGTCTAGCAAATCTTTCCAACCTGGTCATAATCTGCTTCATCACCTGTAAGGCAGACTCCTCGGGGGATATGACGATGGTGCTCAGGCGTAGGTGAGGTGTACCCTCAGCTCGTGTTGCTAGAGCTTCGAAAAGGATCGGCCATTGGGTGCAATAGGTGCTGCTCATGTCCACAATGTGAATTTTTGTCTCACCTTCAAAGGCCTCCATCATAGCTCCGTTTCCAGCTGTATGACCGAAAGTTGTCCACGGACTTGCCTCCTGAAAATTTCTCAGAGTAAAAAGACGATTAGAGGCTAGCTGACAAAATCAGAAACTAGATGCATTGGTGCGACGATTATGTACTACTTGCAAATCTCGTACCTGGTAGTCGAGAATCATTTTTCGTAATGTATCGAACGAATAGGTCCTCTCCGCAGCAGCAGTGAGTGCGCGGTAGCAGCTAGATCCCGTATTGGTGATCTTACAAAACAAAGCCTGCAGGAAATATGCAGCTACTCTTTGGTCAGCGTCTCCGTACGGAGAGCCCAGCTCATTCAACACCCACATCAAGTTCTTCACACGAGCGGAATCATTTGCAGTGATTGCCCTCGCACATTCTACCAGTAGGTTTGGAGCCCACTGGTGGCTACTGGAATTCGAAGACTCGGTGGTCTGAGATGTGCTGGACCTGTAAGGCTCAGAAGGCAAGCCTGTGAATCCTGCAATCATGCTGTTGCCATCCAAATCTCCTTTTCCAGAAGATGGTTTCACCGGGCTCGCGTAGTATTGCCACTCCGGTCTTGGACTTTGATCATGGAGTTGTCTTGGCTCAGAGTCGAATTCATGAGGATGTTGCTCCAGCCTGAATGACGGAAATGACTGCCGGGATTCCTCGGATTGCAAGTTGGGATACTGATGTCCTTCAGAGCTGGGTGTTCTGCGAGCCGCAAGGGATGTGGATACTACCCCTGAGCCTAATTGCGAGCGTGCACTGTGACGAGGTTCTTCGAAGATGGAGTCTTCTGATGATCGAGTTGGGCCTGCTTCATCACTGGTGTTGAGATCCGCGATTTGGTCGGTTTGAGGATACTCTTGATATTTTACCAGAAGTTTGTCCATGACCTGGATCACGACGAACTGGAAATGCAAAATTTGTAGCTTTTGTGTGACCTGCTGATATATGGTCACACAGTATCTTTTCTAACATAATTATGGAATTTACGATCATGACTTAAGCGAGGAGCGTAGTTCTACGTCTTCTGGCTTACTGGGTTTCTAACCTTGGTACAGATCATCGGAGTTAGGGCACCCGACGATTAGCTGTGCTCCAAGCTTGGATGAACTTCGAAAGTTTACATTTGTAACACTTTCATTCTGAGCAACGAGTACCTAGCCTCAGTACGACTCACCTCTGATGACTTAATCGACAGTGCTGCAGTAGAATGGTTACAAAAATCATGGAGGAAAGAGCTTCAATGTTTAGACAAAAATGGCTTCAGTTTTTCCACTAAGACTTGTGATCTGTGCCCTATGAAAGCGAGGCTTCCGGCGGTTTCTTTTCCGGATCATGCAGATTTTTGTTGGAATTGGCGATTTTGGTTTCCAACTGTCTACCAAAATCAGTCTGCATCGTCTCATCAGAGATGCAGGCTGTCACGATAATCGAATGATTGACAAACTAACCTCATCTTTCACCTTAACAAAGATCATCAAAACACCTTGTTGTTTATGGATCCCACTGGCAAGAAAAACAAAGTTCTCTTTGGAAGCGGGGCATACTGCCGCAACTTTCAGCAGTTCAAAACGAACCTACTTATCGCTCAACCTTACCCTCAAAAGCATAACTGGTTTGTCTAAAGTATTACTAACGAGCAGAACTCCGTTCAATACATAACTAAAATAGGTGAAGGGTGGAGATATTTAGTTATTAAACTTGGTGCCAACCCTCAAATCGTCAAAACATAACCGGCCTCGGGTACCCAAAAGACGTCAGGAGGACTCTACTCAGGGTTCATACAAGGTCTCTATACCACTACCAGTATGTGTTCTGTATATGCCTCCTGCCAGTCGGTAAAAACAAAGACTCGAAACTATTTCGTCGTCAGAAAGAACAGGTTCAAACAACACAACATCACTCCTTGGACGGAACGGACAATCCTACTGCACCGACTCAAAGCCCCCCCTCTTTCGGTGCCCTCTCAACCACTTAGTGCTCTCATCCCGCTCACCCTAGATTCCGAATCCTAAGACTAATTCGGTGACTCAACTGGAGCAACCAAATGAAAAGAGCCTAGACCAAGCAGGGTCACGGAAACAAAGACCAGACCTAGGATGTGGGTCCAGCACGCAGCATCTGCACACGTGCCAGCAATTTTCGACACAGATTAGGCTTGGGGAAGAGGGAGGAATAGGTTCTTCATCAGCTGCCTATTCGCACTCATCTTTCCCCGTCAAGTGTCAGACCCTCGACGCCCGTAACTCTCAACTCGTGCAGCTGCTGCTGGGAACTTGAGACCCCCAATACCCCACCTTTCCAGCAATCCTGCAGCCTGGACTTATTTATACTAGTGCCTGCATTATCATGTGATCCTCCTGCTGCCAGGACTATCGACAACATCTCGGTCGGCTCCATTCGAAATGTTGCTGCACAATTACCAGTCGCCTAGTTTAAGGGTTCCAACCGTACTACAACTTCTGCACTTCGCACAAGACAATCGTGGTAATTTACTAGCCTCGCTCCTCTCGTCTTCGTTCCATGAACCTCCGCCAAGGTACCACCCCGGTGTTGATCATCGAACCATCTACCTCAACTGTGTCGGACGCCAGTGAACACTTGCACGTACATACAGTTTCATTAGGCCCGAGGAAGCGAGGGGATCCTGGGGTGGTTCCCGAGACCGCACCTGCTGAGCTAGGTCATGTAGGACCGGCCGTCACCGAAGTAATACGCTAGGGATGATTGATAGATTCGACTGTGCATCCAGTTGAGAGGTTGAACCTGCTGGTGTAGACTCGGTGTCGGAATCGGTGTCCGTGATTGGGTCACTGCTACAGTGTTGCTAGCGAACGACCCATCGGAATCTGACACACATGCTTAATCGTAGGGCATCGGTGACCTGTGAGGCAACACCAGCTCTACAAGGCACCTGCAGCATGACATCGGCAAACTCCTCCACACGGCACGTCCCATTCTAGAACCATCTTTCCTGCTCTAGAGCTGAGAAACACTACATATTCCCAAGAGGTTCGCATCAACAAGGCAGTGATCCTACGTTTGTAGACCATCCATAGCAGTTCTTTCCACGCTGCCGTGACCAGCGATATCGAACAATGTTCGACAATGAGGTCTTTAGTTTGCTGAAGAATGCTATGATCGCTGAAACTGTTAAGGATCTTAATCCTCTTTTCGATGCACTATTATACCATTATCATGTGATTAGTGTTGGCTTTCGAGTTTGATTAGGTTAGTGCTTTCTCATGAAAGAAACCATTGTTCTTGTTATAACAATAGTATGAACTATTTTGTGGATATGAATTATAATAGTGAAAGCTCGTATGTTGGCACTTTAATAGCTCTTCACAGTAAATTTACATGTTACTAAGAAATTCATTTGCGATAGAGGATAAATAAATAACTGATGTTGTTTCACTTCCTTGAACCACAGAAGAATATAAAGATGAATAAACAGATTTGCAAGTACATCTGTTCTTGCTGCTTTAGTGTTTGTGCATTAAAATTCATGTAGTGCTGGGTTTTGTTTCATTTTTAAATGTTATATAATTTCTTATTTTGGATTTTTTAGAATTATAAATAAATTATTTTAATTCACTTATTAAGAAGTTGTTATTATTTCTATGTCTAATATTTATACTAAAATCCAATATCTGATTGTTTATTACTTATTGAAATTTATCAAAATTATTCATTTTTATAAAATAATTGTATTAAAATGAATGTAATTAATTAATGCACTACCATAATCTGATGATTTTTAACATTAAAAAAATAACTTTATACATACATACATACATATATATATATATATATATATACATACACACATACAAATATATATTTGTATATTCTTCTATAATTGATCTATAAAATTTTAATATTTTTCTAGAATTTTCTAGTATTTATTATATTCTTTCTATTAATGGTTATATTAATTTTTAAAGTATATTATATAACATATACAGAATAATTATTTTATTTTTAAGTGTATATCATTGTAAAAAAACATATCCTGAAAAAAAATTAATTACCGAAATTCTAAATTCGAAATTAATTGTCTTGCTAATTTTATTTTTTATTTATTGATTTATAACTATACATTTTTATATTGACTTATCCACATGGTAATTATACTAAAAACAAATACTGATATAATATGTATGGACCATTTAACGTAAAAATTTATAAAAGCATTTATAGAATCCAAAGAATAATAATTTAGTTTCAAAGATCAAGATAAGTGCAATTATTTAAAGTAATATTCGAAAACTGGTTTTATTAGAAAAAATGACATTTTATGAACAAATATTTTGTAATTTTTTAAATCATGAAGTTTAAAAGTTAAAAAAATCGAACATCATGATTTGTAATTTTTAATTTTTAAATAGATCAAAAATCTTAGTTTTATAAATATAATATATAAGATAATCTGTAAAAATATTATATATATATATAATAATTATTTTTGAAATGATATAATAATAAATTTAACTTTTTAACATTAAAATATTTTAAATATTAATTTATTTAATTATTTATTATATTTACACATTTATTTTTTATTTTAAAAATTAAAAATTGGAATTTACTAAAAAAACATTTTGATACATTAAGCTATACTTTTTCTTTTTTGGATTATATCTAAATGTAAAAACTATGGATTAAATATTAATAGTTCAAATAAAACTCTAATAAAAAAAATCTTAAAAAAAACAAGATTAAATGTGGTGGTAGAATAAAATATGAGATTTTTTTTTTTTTTTAATTATTCATGTACTTCTTCACTTTAAATTCAAATCCAATAAAATTCAATAAAATCAATAAGCCACAATATTCAATAAACCAATACACACTTTCTAATTAAAATCATAGTGTCACGGACCATATGTTACAAATCGAAACAAGATATTAGTCTAGAAATAACCAATCCTAAAAAGATAGAGATATTAATAGTAGCCAAATTGGTTGTAGTGACTCTCCAACCAAGAGAATCTAACATCTAAAATATTATCAAACATTGGCAATCAGAAAAATGACAATTTACTTTCACTTGGGTCTTTCCTCTAAAGGAACTTTGTATTCTGGACAGAATAACTTTCCTTAATTTAAAGGAAAAAAAAACACACACACACACACACACACACTGAACTACAGTTTGGATGGCTGTAAATCAACTTGGGTGGTAAGGAACAAGTTTTTGGGTAAGTGCCTCTGAAGAACTTCCAAAATGGTGAATAATATTGTTGCAGGTTTTCAAATGAAAAACAATAGTAGCTTGCAGATGAAAATCCATAAGGACATGTAGGCATGGCACTGAGAAGAAAGAAAAAATAAAAAATAAAGAATAAACACAAGGAGCACCATGTCCTCCATTCAACATCCATCTATCCTTCCTTCTCATTCATTGTAATTTTCCATGCATCCCATGGTTTTCATTCAATGCAGACACTGCAATCCACCAGGCAAAGCTCAGCTTGGCAGTGTACAAAGAGGGAGATGTTGGTTTTGGCATATTCATTTGGGAGACCAACCCATTAATGGGGCTGGAAATAAGCCCCATTATTGCCCTTGCCCCACACAACACATGACATCTCTTCTGGCCTTTTGCCTTTGGCCTCTCCACTCAAGATACCTTCACTATTATCCAGACTGTGGGCTATCGTTCCTTTCTTCCCACATTGGTTCTTAGGTTCAGTCATCGGCCTTACCACAATAATTCCAATGGTGCACTTGTTTAGAGGTGCATGGATGGAGATGCTCTTAGGCTTTGCTTCAAGATCCTCTGCTTCTTGAAGATAGAAGAGAATGAGAGAGAGAGAGAGAGACTTGGGCTCATGAAGTCTGGGACTTGGGTGGTTGGCATTGAAAAAGGAAGAGAACTGGGGGCATGGAGGAAATGTAATGCCAAGCCAAGCCAAGCCAAGCATAAGAAAATCGGACTCATGATGTTGGGGTAAGTAATTATAAGATGGTACTAAGGCTGGCCAGATAGGAAAACACAACTTTATTTATTTAGTAATTTATTTTTATCAATGGTGGAGTTTAAGTCTGAAATCTCTGATCTGCTTGCCCTGACTTGCTAATGATACTGCCTTCACCCTTCAGCCCAGAATTCATCCATCCATCCCCGTCCACATGTATTCATCCTCATATATTTACATCCATTATATTATCTGTGAGATGTGCAGCTGGTCACAGTCCATTTGACCAGAGGTTAAATTTCTGATCAGAATTTAGAGTTCCTCTGTGTTGAGTGTCCTCAAGGTTTCAATTGATCCCAAACTTGCATCATCAATCCTCGTATGCTTAAGCCATTTGTTCATTGCCATGCCACCCTGTCAAAATAAATGAATAACATTTATCATACAGTATTTTTACTTCTTCTTCTGACCAAACTTTTTATTTGGAAAAGCATTTACTAGAAACTGCAATTTTACCAAAATTTATATTTATTATTTAAGTTCTTATTTTTCAACAATTAATGTTTTTTGTATATGTATATACATACATATATACATACATGTTTTTCTTTTTGTTTCATTTCTTTAATGAAGATAAAAATATTTTTCAGATTTTAGAGTTATTCTAATTATCATCATCTGGAGTAATAATAATACTAACCTTAAGAGGAGATGCCTGCAGAACTGCTTATCAACTTGATGACATTCCATGCCTCTGTTTTAAATATTGGAGTGCACATTCTTTGCAATTGATTTGGACATCTTAAAGTGAAACAATTATAAAGCTCATCTTGTATTCAGTTTTGGATGTTTAATAAAAAAATTGAGATTTTCTAGTCTCATATTTTTAGAATAATATTTAAACCGCTTTTAAACAAATAGATCCCAGATATGTCAAAGATGGATTTTGGTTTTTTGAAGGTTGTACTAATGTTATATTTTAAATTCTGAGAATGACTTCTATCTCAAAGTTTGAGGATTTGAAATATGGAAACAAATAATGTAATAGTATTTTAGCTCATGTGATATTTTTTCTTTTTACATAAATTTCTGAAATATGTTTTTCAAGGACAAAAATTATTTGTTAATGTAATGTTTATAAGGTTTTGATTTCAGTTTTGTACGTTGTAATCATAGCATTCATAAAACCATAATTTAGGAAAATAAAATTAAAAATAAAAATCATGTGTAAAGAAGTTGTATAAACATTTTCAAATTACTAGTGAAACCTTTTCCATATAATTTTTTTAATGAAATAGAAACTTTATAAAAATGATTAAGTTAAATACAGATAAAAGATTCAAAATCGATTTTAACTTTGATTTATTGGGTTTTATTACAAGTTTTTTTATAGTTTACAAAACGACTCATGAGAATATATATATGGGTAAGTTCATTTAGTTTTCTTTTTACTACAAGGAAATAATTGTAATAATAAAACACATAATAATGATTTTTTAAATTTTTTTACTACTATTACTTTTACTATGATGGTACCAAATTTCTCAACAATCATTTAAGATAGTAACATTCTAAAAGATTCCAACTTAGAGATATGTTCTAAGATGGCAAATTATACCCAAAAAATACCCCAAAGAATTCATCATATTTATTCTATAATAATTTTATTGTTAATAGAAATATATATATATATATATATATATATATATATATAATTTGATAAATATTTAAATAATTTTTAAGTTGTTCAGATGAATTTAATTTAAGTAATATGATTTTACAAAATTCAATACT